TGGACATCTCCTCTTCCTGCTACTGTGGTTGTAGAACCATCAGCAACAACAATCTTTCTATTGCTAGGACAGAGGGTATAAGTTTTGAATTTGTTTGAAGTATGGGTCATATGATCCGTAGCACCAGAATCAAGGATCCAAGCATTCCTAAGCTCATTATCTAAAGTATTTAACCCAAAAGAGATTAGAGTCTCACCTGAAAGTGTCAATGAACACATACCCTGATTCGTTGTTTGAAAATTGTTAGTTGCTGGTTTTTCAACAGTCCCCAACATATTTCTAATCTTCTCGATTTCCTCCATACTAAATCCTCCAAACACCTGAGTTGAGTCTTGAACTGACACGTGAGCCTGCTTTTGCTGACCACCTTTTTGTCCCCATTCACGACTGTTTGTGGATGGTTTCCCATGTAGTTTCCAGCATCGTTCTTTGGAATGTCTTGGTTTCTTGCAGTACGTGCACCACAACTCTTCGCGATCTTTTTGCACACTTGACCGATTGGTCTTTTCCACAGCAACTTTGTCCAGTACTAGCCTCTGAGGTTTTGAGCTTAGAAGAGCAGAATTTTCAGTTGAAGGCGACTCTAACATAATGCCCCTGCGGCTCTCTTCTGCACGAACCAGAGATATTGCTTCAGTTAGAGAGGGAAACTCAAGTTTGCCCAGAATTTGAATCCGTGCAAGATCAAATTCAGAATTTAGGCCAGTCAAAAAATCATAAACTCGGTCCCTTTCTATAAATTTTTTTTATGACCACTGCACATTTGCTACAGTTCAAATCAATTGTCCTATAATAATCCAGTTCCTGCCACTGGTTTTGCAGAAAATTAGCATACTCCTTCACTGTTTTCGTCCCCTGTTTTGCTCCAGTTGTCTTCGTCTTGACATCATATATAAGAGCTGCATCATTGACCTTGGAATACGTCTGATGAAGGGCATCCCAAATCGCCTTTGCTGTTGGAAGAAACATACACGTGTCACTGATTTCAGGGGTCATGGAATTCCATAACCACGACATAATCATTGAATCCGCTTCTTCCCATGCTTCAAATTCTGTTGTTCCGCTCTTAGGTACTATCTCCAGCAGATGACTCAACTTTCCTTTGCCTTTCAAGAATGTTCGAACCAGTTGAGACCATTTCAGATAATTTTTTCCATTTAGTCTATATGCTGCCTGGATGTTCTGAAGCTTTGTTGTGCTTCGTGTAATCTGTTCTTCCTCCACAGTTGAAGACAATTGCGGCGATGGCGTTGAAGATGTAGTGTTCGTCATGATTGAATAGGATCAAATAGTAGGTGGAATAATAAACAGAATAAATAGGAAAAGAAAAACAGTGATGAAGGCTGGAGAAAATAAGAAACGAACCAGCAATTAAGGCTGAGATTAACAAGAAGCAAATGTGGTGTTTTCCCAGAAACCCTAGATGGGCTCTGATACCATGAAGAAAAACAGATCTGAATTTTATTAATTCCGTATTTTTCATTTACAATTCATTCTAGTATATATATACAATTTCTGTTACAATAAACAAGGAAAGTTTACAGCTAATTCCCTTAATCTTAGGAACAAATTATTGACCTTGATTTCCTCCACTAACTTTCCTGAAATATCCCTAAGATTACTCATCCGAGATTTCCTACAAATCTGTCCCTGATTTTCCTCCACTTACTTTCCTGAAATATCCCCTAAGATTACTCATATGAGATTTTCTACACTAACATCCTTCAAAGTAAACACAGAACCAAGGAAAACCTAAGGCATACATCACCAGTTCCTAAAACATTGCATTTCTTTTCATTTGCCATTGACACTAAGCCATTCTCTATTTTTCTTGTAGTTTGAAAACAAGGTTTTAAAAGGAGTCATATGAAAAGTACAACCAGAGTCTACCAACCATTGAAAACAAGGTTTTAAAAGGAGTCATATGAAAAGTACAACCAGAGTCTACCAACCAATCTGATTTACACAAAGGATCAGATAACACAGAGTTCAAATATGCATAATCACACATATTATTAATCATGAAAATCTCACCCATTTTGCCCTCACAGACAGCCATATTAGCATGTTCATTTTGTTGATTTTTCTTAGGCTTAGGACAATCTTTAATAAAGTGACCAGTTTCATGACAATTATAGCATTTTTTAGCTTTAAACCTGGACTTAGATCTACCCCTTCCATTTTTAAATTTTTTCTTACTTGATTCCCTATTACTAGCATTCTTTTGGTTATTAGACCTATTCTGAGACCTACCCCTCACATGCATAACCTCACCAGAATTTTTATTTCCTCCAGAATGTTTTAAATCTAATTCCTTACTCTTAAGACCATTAACCACAATGTCAAGGGTAATATCATCTCTACCATATTTAATAGCAGATTTTACATCATTATATGAGTCAGGAATAGCATTTAGAAGAGCAATAGGAGTATAGTCGTCTATATGTTTATCACCAGTTAACTTAATATCTGAAATAAGTTTTGTGAAAACATCTAGGTTCTCCTCAATGTCCTTAGACATATCCAATCTAAATTTGAAAAATTTTTCAAGCAAAAACATTTTACTGGGCAAAGAGGTTTCAGTATAGAATTCTTCAAGTTTATCCCAAAGGGTTTTAGTACATTCCAAAATTCTAACTTTTCTAATCACAGAGTCAGATAAGTTCAAATAAATTGTGGAACAAACATTTTCGCTCATTTCCGCCCGTTTATTTTCAGTGTCAGAAGTTAAATAAGTCTGACCAACAGCCCTAAAGGACTTCTGTTGAATTAAGATGCATTTTATTTTTTGTTTCCAAATGCTAAAATCAGATTTTCCGTTGAACGGAGCCATACCATATTGAATCATACTATATTGATTAGCAGCGGACATTTTTCACACAGAAAAAACAAACAGCAAATAGCACGATTTCGGTAATTATCCGGCTCGAAACGTGTGAAGCAACTAGCACGAACAAATGAGAAGAACGATGAACACAAAGTTCTTGTTTTAATCTCTTTGATCTTTCACACGAGCACACCCAAAAAAAACAGTCTTTTAATTTCTGAAAAAATTTAACAGACCCAAAGATTGAACTGTAATTATTCAATCGAATTGAAAGCAGAGGAACTGCAGAAATGGCGATGCAGACAAGATCAAGCCAAGAACTACAGAAACAGATTTCCGTCACCTCACCTGAGCGAAACCCTAGGGGACGGTTTCGACCTTACCTACGCGGTGGCGGTCCGACGAGGTCCAGGGCGGCGACCGGCGATGGTCCAGTGGCGATCCAGCGGCGATCGGTGGCGGTTTTGAAGCACAGCGACACTAACCTCGCTCTGATACCACTATTGAGGATCTGCGTTGTCGTTTGGTTCAGAGGTCTGCTGAAATCAGTCCTGTTCTTCTCTCACAGTGCACCACCAAGAACACAAAGGGAGAGTTCACTGATCTCCTCCAACCGTCACTCACAAAAGGGGATCGCACAAAGGGGTTGAGAGCACAAAGCCCACAGGAGCACAAAACTCACAGAAAGAGAGATCACACAAATCAGAGGAGAGCTCAAGCTCAGATCTTCACCTCACTATCTCTTCTTCTTCTTCATCCCTCTACAGAGCTACTACCAACCCATTACCCATATATAGGGAAGGGGACAGCCGACACGGGAGAGGAGCTAGGGAAGAAAACGAATGAGGGAGCCGACCTACGGATGGGAGCTCACAAGCGGCGGCCATCAGATCACGAAGACTGGGAGGTGAGAACCATCGGGTAGGAGAAGAAAATAGAGGGGCTAGGGCACATCAGATAAAGGCTAGGGCACATCAAATAAACAAAAGGGCAGTTTTATCGAGGCGCAAAGCGCAATGCGAGGCGCAAAGGTCCCTTACGCGCACCATGCGCAAAGCGCACAACGAGGCGCGCGCCTCACTAATTGAGGCGCATAACTCATACTAATATTTGCCAACATCATAAGACAGAAACATATAAGCAACATATTAGTTACCTACATCTAAAATTATGAGAATATCAACTTAAATCATCAAATTATGCTAACTGAATTTTTAAAGTAATAAAAAAGATACAAGAAACATGTATTTAAATCATCAAATTAGGTGATTAACAATTATGAGCATATGTTTATAAATTGTCACATAAAAGACTAAGAAATATAATTAACAAACATGATTGTTCATAATTTTCTAGTTAGTATTCTTAATTGATATTTGCTACTTAGCATGAAAAGATGAAGAATGAATGTAACAATTGCATATTTACATGTTCATAATTTGCTAGTTAGCATGCTAATTAGAGAAGGAAGTTACAATTAGCAAACAAGTATACTAAATTACTAATTATTATTTCCTTTTTATAGGTTAAACATGAAAAGATGAAAATAGATTAGCAACTAGTAAGAAATAGTAAATTACATGATATAAATATGTAATTATGTAAATTATTTTAAAAAAATAGAAGAAAGAGTATGTTACGTTACGCATGTGCGAGGCGCAGGTGAGGCGCGCGCGAGGCGCACGCGAGGCGCGAGCGAGGCGCACGTGAGGCGCACGCGAGGCGCGCGCCTCGCTGCGTGCAGCGCCCCACCTCGCGTGCGGGGCGCATTTCCCCCAGGCCGAAGCGCCCCGCGCCCGGGGCGCGCCCGAGGCGCGCGCCTCGATAAGCCTGCAAAAGGGAAATGGGCCTTTTGGTAACGGGCCAGAAGCTTTGGGCCAACAAATAGCAACACTGGTAACTACTTCATCTTTTCATATTTTGTCCCCAGAAAAATGTATTTGCATGTTTTTGTAGCTGTTTCAACTTTCAATATGATCATACCTAGTCAGGGAGTACTCAAGTTTGAATATAATCATATACCAAGTCAAGGAGGACTTCTTGAGTTTTGATATAATCATGCCTAATCAGGGAGGACTCCTTGAAATTCAAGTGGTCAGATAATCCTCTGTTATCAAAGTCCCAATGTCATAACAAGTGTATTTTATCTAAAATGTTGAGAATTTTGTTTCAGGGCACATATTCCATATCGTGATAGTAAGCTGACACGCATACTTCAACCAGCTCTTGGTGGCAATGCTAAGACTTCAATAATATGTACTGTAGCACCCGAAGAGGTATTTCCTTCTTCAACTTTTTCTTTCACTTCTTTTTTACTTGCGAAAGTTCATTCCTTGCTAAATTTTATTTGCTATTTCTAGATTCACATAGAGGAAACCAGAGGCACTCTTCAGTTTGCAAGCAGAGCCAAACGTGTTACAAATTGTGCACAAGTGAATGAGGTAGATAACATTAACAAGTGCAATATGATTAGTCGGAAACTTGTTGTTTTCTTATCTTGATATAGTTTTATTTAGTGTGTAAAACGATTACAGTAGCAATGTATATATCCCTGCTAGAAATAGCTGGCTATGGATTATCATTTACCCATATGGTTGAATTAAGACAATCAAGTTTCTGATGTCTTCACTCTTGGTACCAGTTAGTACAATATAGGATATCTGAATTAGCTTGTATGAATAAAAATTCCTGAATGTACTGTGTTGGTTGTTACCTTAGCGCCCTAAGTTCTTGTCATCTCACTATTTATTAGAAGAGTCTAAATGCTTATATTAGGAAGAAGCTAATATTATACCTTTTTCTTGGTTGTTCTTTTGCATGGTTTTATTGTCTTCAATATAGAAAATTTTGGTTTTCTGCATCTACATTTCTCTACGTGTAATAATTATTGATGATTATGCTATAGATTTTGACTGATGCTGCACTGCTGAAAAGGCAAAAGCTAGAAATTGAAGAACTGCGCAGGAAACTTCAGGTGGTCGTCATCTTTTTCTCAACTAAAATTTAAAGTTCTGAATTGACTGCTAACATGCTCGCCATGGGCAGGGGCAACATTCTGAGGTCCTTGAACAAGTTATATTAAAACAGAGAAATGACATGCACAAGGTTGGTGCTGCCTTGCTCTTATTTGTTTGTATTATATGTGAAGTAAACTTTCAAATGTGCCCTTTTATCTTTAATAGCTGACATCCCTTTCTTTTCATTCAGTCTGAGCTGGAGCGCGAAAAGCTTGCAATGGAACTTGAGGAAGAAAGGAAATCTCGTGAAGCTTTAGAGCGATGCTTGAAAGAACAACAAATGAAGATAGAAAGCTTCAGCACACTTTCACTGTCTACGGATCAAGTTAACGGCACGACTCAAGTAAGTTTGGTGTTGTACATAGTTTCCATACATGTATAGGACTTAAGGTAGCACTAATATCAGTATTGAATATAGTTTTCAAATACCACAGTCACAAAAATTGTTAGGATATGATCTTTATTTTCTCAAAAAGCAGTGAATGTTTTTCAGTAGGCAAAACACTCTTTAACCTATGTCCAGTCAGTTGGTGTCATAGTCAACTATATCAAGCATATCCATAAAAATTAATGGAGAAGGAACAATACAACAACAACAACAACAACAACAACAACAACAAAGCCTCTATCCCCAATGTTGGGGTTAGATACATGGAATCCTATTCTTCCGGTCTGTTCTATTATGGGCCATCTCCTATGTTAAGCTAACAATAACCATATCCCTCTTAATTACCTACTAACAATAACCATATCATTCTTAATTGCCTCCAACCAAGTCCTTTTAGGTCTACCTCTAGATCTCTTTACTCCATTAACTATAATATTATCATTTCTCGTAATTGGTGCACTAAGAAGGAATAATATCATCTTGAAATGCTTCTCTTGGGAGTTAGTATTCCTAAGCATTTGTATTCACATGACTTTCTAGAAGGTATCCTGCTTTTGCTCCTTAAGTTATTTGTGAATGCTAGTATAATATGAAGATATAGTCTTAAATAGGTATTTTGATTTCTTCGATTTGCATCAGCTACTTTTAAATTCTCGTCCTCAAGATAATGCTGTGGGTGTATTACTAATGAGCATATTGTTGATGTGTTGACCAATGTTCTGACTTCATTTTTGACACTTTTTACTATAGGGAAATGAAAATATCATTTTCTGAAGTTTGCATAATTAAAGGAAGCCATTTCTTTGAGCATTTTCTCCTGTAAGATTGTTGTAGGTTAAGCTTTAAATTGAATACATGAATACATGATTACGCTACCTTACCATCTTTGACTATTACCTTTGCTTCACATACGCTTTAAATATCTAGAGAAGAAGTTGATGTTCTTTCTGCAAGTTATTTGGCTTAATGCTAGTTTCATGTTGCAGACTTCTTGGAGAGTTTGCATTTCTCATGGATTAATGTCCATATTCTCCTATTGTTCTCCAAATGATCCTAATGTCAACATTATCTAGGATTTCAACTTTAAAAACATTTTGTTTAAATTCAACAACCCATGTCTCTACAACTAGCAGCTTTCATCCAATTCAGCCTACCCAACCTCTAAAATCAATTAATCATTGTTTGTCCTGGAGCAGGTTTGAGAAGCAGCAGTTTAAGTACTGCCAAAAAAAAACCCAAAAAGGATAAGTCACAAGTTCAACTTTTGACGACCATACCCGCTGTAAGGCGAAATAAAATGCCCATAAGCTTGAACTCCTAATAACTCCTAGGTTTTTCTCGCCTTAGCTTTCAAGCATAAGCTTGGACTTTGATTCCTATTTCTTCGTTTCAGTTTGTAGAAGTACTAGGTAGAAGCTTAATGGCTATTCCATATTCAAATATAAACAATGCAAATGAACCTCAAATTTTCTTCTGGCTATAAGAGAAATCACTTGCAACTGCACCAGGTGATGTTTAACTTCATTCCATGTTTAAAGCAGGAAAAAGCAAATTTAAAGTTTCCCAAAGATTTTTTTTTATTGAACGAGTTTCAGTTTCTAGACCTGAAAGTCTCCTGAGGAGTTATTTTGTTCCAATGAAAAAAAGTTTACAAAATATTTGAACCGTTAACTTTCAAAAGTCATGATAGAATTGAATATGGCTGCTTAATAACGACTTTATGAAAAAAATATTATTTCATGAATAGAAATGCATGTATTTAAGTGTTGGTCAAACTTTCACGCACCGAAAGGTGCAATAAAACAGTTGCTTGTCAAGCCAACAAGCCAAGAATTTTTTGCGTGACGGTGCATCCTTTGTTGAAAATGAAGGAAAGCCAATTAATAAGGGAGGGACTTCTGCACCTATAAATAGAGCACCCCAATAGATCCTTAAAAACCATCTAAGCAAGAGAGAAAAAGAAAAGCTTAGAGAAAAAGCTTTAGTGAGAGAAAATTGAGTAGTTTTTAGAGTGAAATTTAGGTTGTGAACACTTATAAAGTTTTTTCCATTTCAGTAAAAAATCTGCAATAGCCCGGAGACGTAGGCATAATTGGTCGAACTTCGTTATCAATTTTGTGTCTTATTATTCCGCATTTATTTCGCATTATCATAAATCTGATTATAGGGAAATTTGTGTAATTTCCCAACAATTGGTATCAGAGCATCCTGTGGTGATTTCTGTTAATTTTTTGCAAGGTCACTATTCATGTGAATAGTGAATTTCGTGAATAATGATGTTTTTTCGGCGGTACTGATTTGTCGGTAGAGGTGTCTTAATACATGTTGGTTCGTAAAATAATCAGAAACGATCTAGAGGAAGTCCGATTCGAGTGGGAGTAATGGCCGCAGATGAAGGAAAGGTGAAACTAGACAAATTCGATGGCATGAATTTTGGATTTTGGAAAATGCAGATAGAGAATTATCTGTATCAAAAAAATCTGTATCAACCTCTCTCCGGGAAGAAGTCGGAGGCTATGAAGGAAGAAGATTGAAATCTTTTAGACAGACAAGCCCTCAGAGTTATTCGATTGACGCTATCCTGCAATGTTACTTTCAACATAGCAAAGGAAAAGACCATGACGGGTCTTATGACGACTCTCTCTAGTATGTATGAGAAGCCGTTAGCCTCAAATAAAGTTCACTTGATGAGGCGTTTGTTCAATTTGCGAATGACGGAAGGCGCATTGGTAGCTTAACATCTCAATGAACTCAACACAGTCACAACCCAGTTGAGTTCAGTTGGAATTGAATTTAATGAAGAAATATGAGCATTGATACTTTTGTCTTCTCGACCAGAAAACTGGAATGCTACTGTCACGGCTATGAGTAGCTTATCAGGAAGAAATAAGTTAAAATTTGACGATGTTCGTGATTTGGTTCTTAGTGAAGAGATCCGACGGAGAGAGTCAGGTGAACTATGAACTTCTTCAATTTTGCATACAGAGTCAAGAGGAAGAAATTCAACCTGAGGGAATGGACGTGGCAGATCAAACTGCCGAGGTAGATCAAAGGACAGGAAGTCCAAATCCAGGAATCCTAGTAATTCCCATAGCTCGAAGACCATCGAGTGTTGGAATTATGAGAAAACCGGGCACTACAAAAATCAATGCAAGAGTGCATCGAAGGATCAAGAGGCAAAGACAGAGGCAAATGTTACTTCCACCTCAGGAGGAGATGATGCATTGATATGCTTTTAGAGAGCAAGGAGCAATCTTGGGTGTTAGACTCTGGAGCATCGTTTCATGCTACTGCACAAAATTTTTTTTTAAGAGGTATGCCCTCGGAAACCTTGAAAAAGTATATCTTGGTGATGATCAACCGTGTGCTATTGTTAGCACAGGTGTAGTGAAGATTAAGCTGAATGGGTCAGTTTGGGAGCTGAAGGGTGTCAGACATATTCCCGACCTGAGAAAAACTTAATCTCAGTAAGGTAGCTGGCTAGCGAATGCTACACTACGATCTTCCATGGTGATGATTGGAAAATTTTAAAAGACGCAATGATGATTGCTCGAGGCAAGAAAAGTGACACCCTTTAAATGACAACAAGTGCACATTGTTCGATCACAGTTGTAGTAGGCAATGAGACTCTAAATTTATGGTACCAGAGACTTGGCCACATTAGTGAGAAGAGGATGCAAATTATGCACTCAAAGGGAAAATTTCAGGTGTACAGTGAATGAAGATAGACATGTGCGAAGATTGCATATTTAGAAAGCAGAAGAGGGTTAGCTTTCATCAGATAAGTGGCAGAACCCCAAAGAAGAAAAGGCTAGAGCTCATTCACTCTGATGTTTGGGGACCAACAACCATCTCATCCATTAGTAGGAAACACTACTTCGTGACTTTCATCGATGATCACTCTCGGAAGGTATGAGTTTACTTTCTAAAGCATAAGTCTGATGTGTTTGAGGCTTTCAGGAAATGAAAAGCTATGGTTGAAAATGAGACATGTCTGAAGATAAAAATGCTCAAAACCGATAATGGTAATGAATATGAAGACACCAGATTCAAGAAGTTTTGCTATGAACACGAAATCAAAATAGAGAAAATCGTATCTGACACGCCTAAACACAATGGTGTAGCTGAGCGTATGAACCGAACGTTGACAGAAAGAGTCAGAAGCATTCTATACAGTCAGGTCTACCAAAGCAGTTCTGGACAAAAGCAGTCAACATAACAGCTTACTTGATCAACCGAGACCCATCGATTCTATTGGAGCATAGAATACCAGAGAAAGTATGATGCGAAAAAGAGCTAAAACTATCATATCTAAAAGTTTTCGGTTGTGTAGCTTATGTGCATATCAGTGATCAAGGCAGGAATAAACTTGATCCCAAATCCAAGAAATACACCTTCATCGGCTATGGCGAGGATGAGTTTGGCTACCATATTTGGGATGACGAAAACAAGAAAGCGATCCATATCAGAGATGTGATTTTCAATGAAAAGATGATGTATAAGGACATGCATAAAACATATGTCAGTGACTCAGAGCAGAATGAGCTAATATTTGCAGATGTAGATGATGTCCCAAATAGCCCCGTAAAGGAACCAATTGTAGCAAGTCCTTAGCCAGAGGAACTCGTTGGACAAAGTAGTGCGCAGCAGTCTGACACACCACAGTCTCCTACTCCAGCTCCTATATTGAGAAGGTCTTCTCGGCCTCATGTGCCTAATAAGAGATACATGAATTATCTATTGCTGATTGATGAAGGAGAGCCTGAATGCTATGATGAAGCTCGTTAGACTGGAGATGCTAGCAAGTAGGAACTTACTATGAAAGAAGAGATGAAGTCTCTGATCTCTAACCAGACATGAGAACTAGCTGAGTGACCCATGGGGAAGAAGGCACTTCACAACAGATGGGTGTAACAGGTGAAAGAGGAGCATGATGGTTCCAAAAGATACAAAGTCCGACTAGTTGTCAAAGGATTCCAGCAGAAAGAAGAAGTTAACTACACCGACATTTTTACTCCCGTTGTGAAGCTCAATACTATCAGATCAGCGTTGAGTATTGTAGCTATTGAAAAATTTCATCTTGAGCAGTTAGATGTGAAGACCGTATTTCTTTACGGACACTTGGATGAAGAGATATACATGCACCAGCTAGAAGTTTTTTTAAAAAAAGGAAAGAAGAACATGGTGTGCAGACTTAAGAAGAGTTTGTATGGCCTGAAACAAGCCCTAACACAGTGGAACAGAAAGTTCGACGGCTTCATGCACAAGAAAGGTTTTCAGAAGTGCAACGCCGACCACTGTTGCTACTTCAAGAGATATAGGTACAATTATATCATTTTACTGTTTTATGTCGATGATATGTTAGTTGCAGGTTTAGATATGGATGATATCAGAAGGTTGAAGCAGCAATTGTCAAAGGAATTTGACATGAAAGACTTGGGTACAGCAAAGAAGATTCTTGGAATACAAATCACAAGAGATAAGTAGAGAGGATTCTTACAGTTATCTCAGGCAGAGTACATCAATCGTGTTTTGCAGAGATTCAACATGGGCGACGCGAAGCCAGTCAACACACCCTTGGCTACTCACTTTCGCCTATCAAAGGATTAATCCCCTCAAATAGAGGAAGAGAATGATTTCATGGCTAAGGTTCCTTACACCTCAGCCATTGGGAGTTTGATGTACGCCATGGTCTATACGAGACTAGATATTGGTTATGTAGTGGGAGTTGTTAGCAGGTTTATGTCAAATCTAGGAAAAGCTCATTAGGAAGCAGTCAAGTGGATTTTGAGGTATCTACGAGGCACCGCAGAGAAGTGTTTGTACAAGGTTACGTAGACACAGACTTTGGAGGTGAAGTCGATCACCAAAGAAGCACCTCCAGTTATATATTTACTGTTGGAATTACAGATGTTAGTTGGATGTCACAGATATAGAAGATTGTCACTTTATCCACTACAGAGGCTGAGTATGTAGCAATGATTGAAGCTAGTAAAGAGATGATATGGCTTTAAGGTTTGTTAACTGAGTTGGGATTCAAATAGGAGAAGAACGTTTTGCATAGTGATAGTCAGAATGTGATACACTTGGCGAAGAATTCAGCATTTCATTCCAGAACCAAGCATATTGGGCTTCGTTATCACTTCATCAGATCTTTATTGGAAGATGATGTGTTAGTACTGGAGAAGATCCAAGAAAGTAAGAATCTAGAGGATATGTTGACAAATGTGGTGACTATTGACAAACTGAAGTTATGTTCGACTTCAGTTGGCCTGCTAGAGTAACAAGACCGAAAAGAGCTGCTGCATTAATCGAGGTATGAAGACAGATTGAAATCAGTTTTCAAGTGGGAGATTGTTGGTCAAACTTTCACGCATCGAAAGGCACAATAAAACAAAAAAGGGGAAAAAGATGCTTGTCAAGCCAACAATTCAAGAATTTTTTGCTTGGCGGTGCATCCTTTGTTGAAAATGAAGGAAAGCCAATTAAGAAGGGAGGGGCTTCTTCACCTATAAATAGAGCACCACTATAGATGCTTAAAAACCATCTAAGCAAGAGAGAAAAAGAAAAGCTTAGAGAAAAAGCTTTAGTGAGAGAAAATTAAGAGTAATTTTTAGAGTGAAATTTAGGTTGTGAACACTTGTAAAGTTTTTTCATTTCAGTAAAAAATCTGCAAACAGTCCGGAGACGTAGGCATAATTGGCCGAACTTCATTATCAATTTTGTGTGTCTTATTATTCCGCATTTATTTTGCTTTCTCATAAATCTGATTATAGAGGAATTTGTGTAATTTCCCAACATTAAGGCAAAGGGGAATATAAGCTCTATTATAGTCCATCTCTTTTCCTAGTTGCCCAAGAAAAATACTGACCATGTCTCTGATGGGGTTTCTGTTCCATTGATTACTCAAATGATGATATTAATTTTTCAATATATTTTATGTCATAATGAGAAAGTTCCATGTATGCTTTGCAGGAAAGAGCTGATTTAGGGAGTATATCTGGGGAGCTATCCAGTGGTAATATACCACATGAGAATGCATTCAAAACTCCCAATTTCAGATCTATATCAAATGGTTTTGTCGCCAAACGAACTTCCTGTTCAAGGGCACTTGATTTGAGTCCTATTCCTGATAATTTCGCCAGTGTAGCAGATGAAGACTTGTGGTTACAATTGAACAAGGGATGCACAACTAATCTTGATATGCTTCAGATGACACCCAACATAAAGCAGCAGTCTGTGTCCTCAGCTGATATATCTCTTGTAAGTTCACTGTCACCACTTTTCACAATGATATTTTGCTTTTATACTCTGTGAGAATTCTTTAATTTCCACTTAAAACCTTGTTAATTATATGGGTACAATTTCACAAAAATTACCATGAACTATTAGGGTTTTGCACAAACCACCTTAAACTGTTTTTATTAGAGAAAATGCTGTAAACATTCAAAGATACAGAAAAATATCCAATAGCAACATTTATGTTGTTTTCACAATTTATAAACTTAACAATATGCCTTATTAGCAATACATGTATACTGATACAATTGTTTATATTTTGTAAAGCATTGGACATCAACTATTATATGTGGAACAATGGAAACTGGAAAGAACTCCTGTTGTTTGTGGACAAATTATTTCCATCAATGATGCACAGGCGTCAGAAAACACCTCTAAAAGGTAGTTGTAGATACCAAATGCTAATAGACAGGTGTCTATTTTGGGAGCATGGCATGATCAACTTTGGCTCGTTGGTGGCAGTTTCTCTGGGGGTGCTCAAGCTGGACAGCTATTGTCTTTTTGAAATCTTGACTTAATCCAACATAACATGTTTTGGACTTTTGTGTAGGGACTTTTGTGTAGTTTCTGATCCAGGTTCATGCGTATATCCTCTGAGTGCAGGAATAAGAAAATTTTCATCCCTTTTTTCCCTTGATGCTTTATTTGGACCCAATAGATATGAAAAGAATATACTCATTTTCTCATGTTCAAATTTCCGTTAGTGATTATTTTCATACAGGAATAAAGAATATAATGCCTTTTCACTTCTCTTCAAAATGGGCTTCTATAGTTCCTGTTAGGTCTATAATATCTATCACATTAACACACGAAAAACAATGAAAGAAGCCTATCAGCCTTGATTTGAAGAAAGAAGGGGTGCAAGAGAGGGAGGGACTCAAGGAGGGAGAGATATCTCCCAATACTATTTGTCATAGAAAACTTTGAATACAATATTAAAGCCATTATCTGCTACATTAACAATTCTATAACTTCTTTTCTATATTAAAACCGTAGAAACCTCCCAGAGTGCAATGCATGCACTGTGACGTTGCCTGTTCATGTCATAATGTTTTTCTTTCTAAGGGTTTGTATTGATTATATCTACTTGTAGCTTTAAACAGTACAAACTTCGTTTTCTGTCATAACATTTAAGAGACTTTGTTGATTAACCTCCCCCCCTCTTTTCCAAGTACTTATTAATTTATTTTGGTCTGAAGGAACCACCCACTGGGGATGGAGTTTCCAAAGAAAGATCTCATAGCTCGGAATCTGACTTCAGTAGGCACGAACTGCAGCTAACTGAAGTAAAGGAGCAGTGTGCTGCTCTGGAAAAGGAGTGCAACCAATTGAAGGAGGAAAAGGCATCTGTTGTTCAAGCTCTCTCAATGTCCGAACAAGACATTGAGCTTCTCAGAACTGAGAAGGAAGGACTACTGAAGGAGTTGAACATTGAAAAGCAGAAGATGAAGGATCTCAAAGAAGATATCAGAGTATTCAGTTTGGCATTTTCACAACGTGAGGGTTTACTCACATCCCTTTATAGCAAGTCTAAAGCTATGATGGAAAACCTTAAAGCGCATCGACCTCCAATGGCGATACCTAAACCGTGTGATTTCTGATCCGAGTCGATTAATGTTTGTTGAGTAAGAGGTTAGTTTTAGTCCTTTATGTTTCAGCATCGTTCCTTCGGTTGTTGTATGTATTGGATATTACATGTTGTCTTCTTAATAGTTGTATGTGTATCACAAACAATTCTAGCATAATTTATCATATACACACTTTAGACTTGTAGATGGTGCTTAATTATGCTCTTCATCTATTGCCTTATATTATATTATCTGCCTTGCTATTGTATGGAAGAGTTTGACAGCTATACAATTCTTTTGGGTCTTGAAATGTGGGTACTTGTTAATTACTTCCGCACATTATTAACTTGATCCTAGATGTCATTCTCTAATATCTCAATATCTGTAGATGGATTGGTACCACTAAAAGACAAAGCACGGACGCAGGTGGTGATCCAGATGCATTCAGACATACCTCACAATACATTTTCCTGATACATAGGCGTAATAATTTGGAAGACCACATTTGTTCAGTGTCTTGCTGTCTTTTCAGGTAGAAGGTGAGAGGGGATTAGAATATTAGAGGAAGGATGTTATGCGTCTATTATTGAAGTAGCGCAAGGTGATTCCTGGTCTTATGAAACATGCACACATGCTTTGCATTCTGAACAAGAGGAGGGAGCGAGGCATCCAGTCTCCATGGGGGGAGAAAAAAAAACATCCAGACTCGTACATAATCACATAGGCAGGAAGGAGCAAGTGACACGTTATCTAACAATTCTAAATTAGTCAATCGATACGTAGTTTCATTGCGATCATTATTAATGCCATGAAAACATTGAAGTTGCGTAATCACCAGGACTGGGCAATACCCGGGAAAACTTTTGTAGAGGGTCCTCTGTAAAAGTTAAGATAAGGAGTAACAAGATTGCGTGACAAATGTACAATGCATATCTTAAAGTTAGGGCTAAATGGCACTTAAATACTTTATTGTTTTACCACATTTACACTTATAAATAGTACTAGTATGCACCCGGTGCAAGACACGACCTTCATTTTTTTTTATTTCCGTTATAGTAAGTATGTATTTAAACACAATTTTGTAAGTGCTACTTCTTAAGTGCTGCATTATCCTACCTGAGCTATAGTAGTAAACGCTACAGTAATATCTTTAAGCGATGCAGTAATTTATTGTAACATGAATAGTGAATCTTGGATCCTAATGCTTGGGCTGCAGTAATAATACAGTAATTTACTGTAGCATGAATAGTAAATCTTGGATCCTCCCATTATTATAGAGGAATACATTACTTTGATACTCTAAGTTGTAAATCAGTAGCACTTTAATAACCTAATTTTTAAAAAACCAGCACTTAAATACTCCATTGTTTAACCACATTTATACTTAAATATTCTAAGTTGTAAAAATAACACTTTAATACTCGAAGTTGTAAGAAAGTGACACTTCAATACCCCATGTTGTAAGAAAGTAGCACTTTAATACCCTTTGTTAGTTGTCAGGATATACTCCTAAGAATATTTTCATGACAACTACTAAAAGATGCTAATGTATTAATTTTTCACGACTTAGGGTATTTAAATGTAAAGATGATGAAGTACTATGATATTTAAGTGCCATTTAGCCTAAAGTAAGTGACAGAAGTTGTAATAATCCTAATTTCTATTGGCTATATATGTTATGTTGGATTAAGTAAATCATCTAAACAAGACTCAATGTGTTTCTATGAGGTTTTAATTTTGTGCTAAGAGCCCAAGTTTGGGTCTCACCATCCCGACCACGTGCTGTATAATAGTGGGGTTTGCTAAGTCAACCAGAGTATCGAAGTGTTGACCGCATTGAGACGTGATATGCTTATTTCATTGCATGAGTATATTTTAAAAAAATATCACATTATGATTTTCTACTATTTTAATGTTTTGCTTACCAAGTGAAATTATTTTAGTTTTATAAAACCAGTGTTTAATATATGAATTTATCCACTTATTGAGTTGTGAACTCATTGTGTTATATTCATCCTTTCCAGAGACTCAGGATTAGATGGAGTTGATGGTTCCTAAATTATTAAAAGGTAGCTAGAAATAAAATTTGCAGATTGCTAAGGTTGAATGAAGTATTCGATATGTAGTTTATAAGTGGAATCTTTGTAATAATGGAATATTTACCTTTAGGTTGAGTTTTATTCCAAGTTGAGAAATATTTGTTTATCTCAAGTTAATTAGATTATATTGACTTTTGGTTTATGGAGAATACTTTGTTGTTGGTATAATTCAATGGTGAGATTGTTTTGGTGGTCTTTTGATGAATGTAGATTTTTTGGAGGACTTTTTCTAGATTTAGTCCAACTTCGGTATTACTTTTAGGTTTGGAAATTGGGGTCGTGACAGTAATGATATTACTTTGATTGCATTGATACAATATTCTAATTGTATTTGTTGTAATTGTGTTGGTCTTGTATATTAACTACACTGCTTTAGATTCAATAATTAAATAAATGTTATTATCTTCTTCTTCTCTATATGATTTTCTATACATAATTTTTTCTTCAATTTAATCTCGAACAAACTTATACTCAGGTTTGAGGGGAAATAGGTCCCTATATAGAATATTATACATGAAGGAAGAAAAGAGTTTCACTTAACTATCATTGCAATCACATGTCAATGGCCACAGCCTCTATTGATTCAGCCTTAGCTGTTGTTTTTTTCTTTTTCTTTCTTTATTTTTTTCTTATTTTATGTTTCGCTTTCATTTTATTTATTTTATGGGGAAATTGCTTCCAGCTCCCAATTTCATTACAAGTGTTCCAACCCCTCCCAAGACTTTTTCAACGCTCCCAAAACCCCTAAAAACAAAGCGATAATTCCCTAAGCCTCCAAAATACAAAACCCAAGTGATTAAAATATATGAAGATCATAATACCCTTTATCTTCTTCAAACTCCCCTTCCTCAGGAACCTCCTATTCGAGTACGACATCAATACAGTGCAGCAAATACCTCGCCGGTGGAACAGAGACGATCCTTTCCCATTGGAAACACTTCCATCCGCAGTGATCAATGACAGAAACGAGGAGTTACCGGAGATCGGCGGTGAGATGCTGAAAGAATCGTTAGTAATTTGTCCTTTCCCAGTGATCTTACCGGCGGGTGGCGGGTTCGGGTTGGTGAAGTCAAGGGTGAGCCCTTGAGGCGGGGAACTCACCGCTGGAGGAGGAATCAGAGCTGGCCGACCTACAGTCATCGGAGAACGCGGTGGAGATGAGGATTCGGTCGAAGTCTGGACTAGGCTGCGCCTGAACCGAGCATAGCCCTTTCGATCGAGGGCATTGATGAACTTATTGAACTTGGAGACGGTGTTGTCGGTGATGGCCGAGCAGTCAAAGGAAGAAGACGACGAAGATTGATGGCTGAGGGTGAGGACGAGGGCTTGCATGCTCTGGAGGTTGGCGATGGCTGCTTCCTTGATCGCGAGCTGATCGTCCATTTTTGAGAAGTTCATCAGATCAACGACCATTGATGGGGGTGAAGGAGAGAAGATTGGGTTTGGGGAGGAAAGGGGTTATTTATATTGGATGAATGAGTTGGTTGTGAAGGATACAATTGGTTGTGAAGGTGTTATGGGTTGGTTGTGAATGATATGTGTTGGTTGTTAATGTTACGTGTTGGTTGTGAATGTTACGGGTTGGTTGTTAAGGTTACAGGTTGGTTGTTAAGGTTACACATTAGTTGTAAATGTTGCTGATTGGTTGTTAAGGTTACGCGTTGGTTGTGAATGTTACGGGTTGGTTGTTAAGGATAAGTGTTGATGTTTTCCGTACTCAATTGAATACATAAGCCATTGCTACTTATATAGGATAATTTCTCTCATGCTACAATTGACGATTATGAACCATTATAATGTATAATAATGTGAATATGAACGTGAATGTAAAAGATTACTAACTAATTTGGAATTACATTCACATTGATATTCTTTATCTAAAGGATTACTTATTTATTCATTGAGATATATATGTATATATATTTTGAGTGACATGAATATTTTGGGCCACTTGGCCTAGTGGTAAAATTTGGGAGGTTGGACATGAGGTTAGGAGTTCAAACCCCTATAACCATAATATATATTTAAAGGTCTTTGACTGGGCCTTGGGCCTCTTGTGCTCTTTGAATTCTAAAAATATTTTTAGAATATTCATTATGAAGGTTACAGATTGGTTGTGAAGGTTACACGTTGGTTGTTAAGGTTACGAATTGATTGTCAAGGTTAATTTCACAACCAACGCAATATTCGTTGTGAAGGTTACGGATTGGTTGTGGAGGTTACGAGTTGGTTGTTAATATTACAGGTTGATTGTCAAGGTTAATTTCACAACCAATGCGTAACCTTCACAACCAATGCTTATCCTTAACAACAAATTCGTAACCTTAACAATCAACCCGTAACCTTCATAACCAATGTGTAACCTTAACAAGCAACCTATAACCTTAACAACCAACGTGTAACCTTCACAACCAACTCGTAACCTTAACAATCAACCCGTAACATTAACAATCAACCTGTAACCTCCACAACCAACCCGTAATCTTAACAATCAACCCGTAACTACGTGTCATGAGAAAAATTAGTACGCACATAGAGGCGTAAAGAACTCAGATAAGTAATCCAACTAAACAAGCAAATAATTTCCATTTAAAAAAAAACTCGAACGCGTTGTGCTACTGCAAGGCACAGTCGACCAAGTTTTGCAAAAACCCCCCTCATTTTCCTTCGCATTGCTAGCGACTGCGGAGTAAAACTCTCGAGCATCATCAATAGTGGTGAT